GAAATCAAGGTGCCAGAGTCTGGAGGAAGACTGGGGAGAAGGAAATGCCAAAATGCCAGAAGTCCAGTGTGAAGCACCCACAGTCAGTGATGGTCTGGGGTGCCATGTCATCTGCTGGTGTTGGTCCACTGTGTTTTATCAAGGGCAGGGTCAATGCAGCTAGCTATCAGGAGATTTTGGAGCACTTCATGCTTCCATCTGCTGAAAAGCTTTATGGAGATGAAGATTTCATTTTTCAGCACGACCTGGCACCTGCTCACAGTGCCAAAACCACTGGTAAATGGTTTACTGACCATGGTATTACTGTGCTCAATTGGCCTGCCAACTCTCCTGACCTGAACCCCATAGAGAACCTGTGGGATATTGTGAAGAGAAAGTTGAGAGACGCAAGACCCAACACTCTGGATGAGCTTAAGGCCGCTATCGAAGCATCCTGGGCCTCCATAACACCTCAGCAGTGCCACAGGCTGATTGCCTCCATGCCACGCCGCATTGAAGCAGTCATTCATGCAAAAGGATTCCCGACCAAGTATTGAGTGCATAACTGAACATGATTATTTGAAGGTTGGCGTTTTTTGTATTAAAAACACTTGTCTTTCATTGGTGGGATGAAATATGCTAATTTTTTGGGACAGGCATTTTGGGTTTTCATGAGCTGTATGCCATAATCATCAGTATTAAAACAATTAAAGACCTGAAATATTTCAGTTGGTGTGCAATGAATCTGAAATATATGAAAGTTTCATTTTTATCATTACATTATGGAAAATAATGACCTTTATAACAATATGCTAATTTTTTTAGAAGGACCTGTATGTAGTAACTTTCAAAGCAACTGGAATGTAATAAAAAAAAATAACTTGAATCTGAACAGTTAAGGTTTAAAGTAACAATTTATGAAACTTAAGGTAGAGGGCATCCAACAAGCACGAGGCTCTATGAGGAGCCAAGAAATCGTTCCTAAAAGGGTCTGAACTTTGCGTTTGGGCCGGACCGTTCACCCTGGAGAGCTACATCAATCAGCACTGTGGTACAGCGGGTACATCCAAGTTCCCCCCTCCTCCCCCAGTGGTTATTAAAAGCTGCTGCATCCTCCCCACACTGTTAATCTCTCGTAAAAAGCCTTTGCTTTCCCCGCCGTCTGCAATCTTCTCACTGCTGCGACCTTTCCTCTGATCCTCGGTGTATTTTGCGTCGTCCCCGACCTCTTGTAGTCCGACGACCGACCTCGCATTAGACCGAACGAGGAACAGGAGCAGCTTCTGTCCAAGTGCTCGTTCTGTGTTAAAAGCTCAAACCTCATCTTCCTCATGGGTTTAAAGCACTTAAGAGCTGCCTTGAAAAGAACAAGAAATGCTTTTTCTGTTTGGTAAAGGTTTGGGATAATAAGCTCAGAGCAATTTACGGTAAAACTCGTGTGTGTGCGTGTAGACATCAGCATCTGCGTTTGTGCTCTGGTAACAAAACTTCTTATAAAATTTGATCGTATTTGTATAGACCGTAAGAGCCAGGAGCAATTTACACTCAGCAGCTACCAATGTGACTTGGCCCTGAAAAGTCAGAAATTTAGCTTTTATCCAAGACTGAAAAATGAAAAGTACAAAAAAAATACTAACTTGAAGCTGCCAATATAATTTTCTAGAGAACAAAAATGTTTTAAATAAGTACTGGCGCTTTGAGACGTGAGTTTTAGACGAGAATATGGGCTTTAACGATGTGACGGCTTTAATTGTTAACTAGAACATCAGTAAATAAAAAGGTGCTGGGCAGTGGCGCCTCCAGAAATTCTATGGGGTGGCCAAGTGGTGGTGGGGTGTCATTAAACCATCAAATTCATAAATTGTATTAGAAAACAGTAATTTAAAAACTAGCTATTGTTTAAATGAGTTATTAAAACTCAATCTGACTAATCCATTCAGCGCTGTTGGTTTTCACGAGGAGGAGGAAGTATCTGTTTTTATTACACAGATCAAGAACAGTTTTGGAGATTCTGGGTTCAGAAACCTCTACATCCCTAACATCCTGGTTCAGGAAGTCTAAACTGACCTACTTCCTGAACCCACTTTAAATGGTGTTAAAAATGTCGGTTGTTCTGATGGTCTGGACTTTCTCTGGGTTCCACGGTTCTGCCCACGTCATTCCCACACAGCAGCGAGTTCGGCCTTGGGGTGTTTTTCCCGTTATCAGTGAGTAACAGTCCTATCAACGAAAAATGGCAAAACGAGACTAAGAATGGAAGAAAGAAGAACACCCATACAGCCAGTCTGCTGAAGTTTATCGTAGCCTCAACTTTCCAGAAAAATATGTCTGAGCGGAAATTCCGCAGTTCTCGAGTTTTGACCTTCCAGCTTCCAAGAAACTGCAGAAAACAGCTTTTCATAATATTTAACGACCAGTAAAACACTTTAAAAATGAAAATTTGATTCACTGTAACAAATTGCAAATTGATGTAACTGTTTCTTATTTTACATCTAATGTTACAGATTATAAGATCAGAGACCAGAACAGAAAACACGAGTTCCACGACAGCCCAGTGTGGTATGGGTCCATAAATACTGGTTTTTGTGCCATAAATTGGCCTTTCAAAGTCAAATATCTTAAAGGACATTAAACAAAACAGTTGGTAACACTTTACAATAATGTACAAAAAATTTTGATTATAACTACTGGGGAGCGAATCAGGAGCTAATGGGTAGTTAACCAGTACTTACTGGGGAACACAGCCAAGCCTTATTAGGGGACTACTGGTTTGTTACCACAGAAACAGGATAAATTCTCCATGTGGGTTCTGAATAAACCCTGCACCAGTGAGGCCACAGCTCATACTTGTCAAAAACCTTTTTCCTATAGTCATTACTGGTTTTATTGGATTTTCTCTTTTGTAAACTTATTGATGAAAGACATTAATTTCATTATCTTGTGCTGATGTCATCTTAACTATGTCACTTACTGAGTACCTAAAAAACCAGTTCTAGAATTGTGCCGCTCGGGGTGGCTTCATGTTGGAGCAGCGCTGTTACTTTCATTCTGAGCTATTGCTTTTGGAAACTTTTAATTCCTCTTTTTTTTTTTCTGGATGTAAATCAATTTTTTCGGATGATTACTAATACTTCCTCTGGTGTCATGCTGTGCAGCTGGAAGGAGTTTTACTAAAACATTTTTACTTTTGGGCATTTGTTATGATGCGTAACCATGGCAACAATGCGATTTTTAAAAACCAGGAGCAGCTGATTAACATCTCAAAAGCTCAAATACCTCAGCTACAGCCCCAAATCCCAAATGAGTTGAAAAGGAGGCGCCGTGGACGAATTCCCGTCAACCTACCGGCAGTGCTCGAGTACCTGACCGCCGAGATCCTAGAGCTGGTGGGGAAACTCGGCTCATGACAACCGGAGGACCGGGATCATCCCCCCGGCACCTTCAGCTGTCTGTCCGTGGTGACGAGGAGCTCCGCAGACTGCTGGGAGGAGTGACCATCGCTCGGGGAGGAATTCTGCCCAGGAGGACTGAGAGGTCCGCCAGATCTGACAGCAAGCTGGATCCAGGTGGCCAGATTCTTCAGATTCGCTGCAGGGGATCCTTCCTGCCCACAGCTATCAGCATCTATAACCACTCTTGAATTAAACCAGGATATAATTTTGTTCACTGATGTAGACTAATCATTACGTAATCCCAACCTGACCATTAAATGCTGTTTCTGTGTACTTGGCTTGGCTGCATGTTCCCCAGTAGATCCTGATTTGTTCCTGAGGTGTTCCCTAGCAGTTAACAATATTTTTTTTATCCTAATTGCTTAAAAACAAAGATTGATTTTAAATGTATGATATTCTAGTAATTCTAAACAGCGAGGAGAAATAAAACACACCGAGCAAGAACCTGGGACTCGGGATAGAACTTGACCAGAGCAGGACGCACTTGAGACTGTTTCTTGGCTGCCCTGGGGGACGCCTCGGAGTCCTCGATGCGGTGTTTGTGGAAAGACATGTCTGGACC